CTGTGAAGTATTAGACGAAAAACATCGCATGATCGCTTTTCAAGGAATTTTTGTTGGCATTATCATAAAAGCTAGTGGCACTACTCTTAAGTTAACAGACTTGTTGTTTGCCTTCGCTTTTTGTAAAAAATAAACCAGGGAAACTAGTGTCCTCGCTCGTTGTCTGTTTGCTCTTTGTTAATTTCGACACATAAAATAAAATTTAGCGAGCTTTTCAGACCTGCAGTAAAACAACAACACAACTAATTAAAGGAGAGCTACAAAGTGTGTTTGTAATATTGTTTTTCGTTTTGCCTGTAGCTTTCCAAAGTGATACTGTTTACATGGATTTATAAAGGAACATATTTTTTTAGACGTTTGTTTCTCTAGTAAATTCGCAAATTGCAAGTGTACTCACAGGACTAAATCAGCTAAATTAAATGCACTTGAGAACTCGTTGCTTTGTTCTGAGATAATTTATATATCTTTTTAAAAAGTTCGCGATATATTTTTCCAAGATTTTGAAAGATTTATGTACTGAAAATCGGGGAAAACTGCCGAGGAAAATATGAAGACAACAGGAAAAAAGAAATTTCAGTATTTTAAATTAGAGCGCACCTAGCCAAAACATTTAAAGTAGAACATCTGGTGTCGCCGTCTTTTCGAAAACCTTTTACCTTCTACGCCAATGGAATAACCTTCGAGATCTCCTTCAGTCTCGCAAGAAGTTAAATGTGATTGTGCTAACTGTTTTATTTTTACTTGAAAAAATTAAAAGAGAAAAGCTATATCTTTTAAGTCAGCGAGTCTGCATTTTTCCTACGTAAGGAAAATTTGCATACAAACAAATCAAGCAAAGGAACTAATTTTGGTTAGCTGATTTGGCAATTGTCAATCAATCAAAAAAGTGGGCGGCAGACGTTTCGTAGAAGGTTTGTATCAGGCTGTCTCTTCGTTTCGCCTTGCCTGTCGGAATGTTATTTACAAAGCGAAACGAGAATTGAGCCTGATCTCAGGTTACAGTTTTGACCATGCAGTTATATTCAGGAGACGTCCACAATCAAGACGAAGGATCGAACCCAATAGAAGAGAAGAAACTGATGCATGGAAGTATCATTTCAAGTGAAGAAACTCTAGGGAAAAGCTAGAAAGAAAAGTTAAGACGTGAATGGTGGTTGAGCGATTCAAAGCTTAACAAAAATCTAAGAAACTATCTGCAAGCACAAAAAAGATTATAGTACATATGATGTTATATTTTGTATATGATTTTTAAGTTTTTTTTAGTTTAAAACACTGCTTTTTACTTTGGAAGTATGGTTTTTGAAAGCGCTATTTAACCTGTACCATCAACATGCCTAGTATTTTAAAAGCTCTGTTTGAATATCACATAGGAAACGCATAGACTACATTATTTCTCATATGAGTGACATAAAAAAATACGTTTATGTAAAAGCTATGTAACCCTCTTCTCATGATAAAGCCAAATTAAAATGTCACATAGTGAGAACATTGGCTGCAAATATGTTTCATCACATAGCATACAATATACATAGCACTATGTAAAAGCCAAGAAACTTGTTGGAAATAAAAGTGAAGATCCAGACGCTATGTAAAAGCAATTTTGCTTTGAAGCATAGTGAATACATAGGATGCTAACTGGAAGGAAAAGCAGAACTTTCTATTGCATAGTAATTACATAGCTACGTAAAGACTATGAAACGATTTTGAATAGTATTTGCATAGGTATTCAAAAGCTATGTGCTTTTCAAATAGCCTAAACATAGTTTCAACATAGATTTTTCGTACTTTGGACTATGTTGTGTGGTATGTTACATAGTTAATACGTAGGCAGTAGTGAACATAACATAGCTGAAACATAGTCCAACATAGTAAAAAATAGCATGAGGGGCATAGGTTTTGCACATGTCTTGTTCTACAAGGGAAAAAAATAGAGGAGGAGAGAAAGCGAACAGTGAAGAGTGAAGACTGCTGTGTCACTTTTAAACCCTAATCTCGAAATTTTGCTTTCTGCACATGCCCAAACTTTGCAAGGTTATATTTTTCATCTGGATTAGAAGGCCACAAAGTGTACGAACTTTAAATGGCTTTGCGATACGTTTATTAAGCTCTATAGCACGACAGTGACCAGAAAACCGTTCGACTACATGTACAGCTGTAGTTTCAAAATTCATTTTTTAGTAAAATTGCCAAGGGGGTGAATGGGTTAAATTCATATATAATGACATATCCACGTCTCCTCCTTCCCTAAAAGAAGAAGTTGTGACTTCGATTAAGACTCGCTAACATTAAGAAAACTATAATGGAACCTCTCTTTTGGGACACGTCTATTTAAGGGACACCTCTATTCAGGGGACACAAAATTTGGTCCTGGAAAAACTTTCTCATAAACTTTGTATCTGTTACCTCTATTGAGGGACACTTTTTGTGATTCCTGAAATCTGGATTTAACCTCCATTCATGGAAACCATAACACTCAAAAAGTGACTGAGTGCAAAGAGGGCTGGTATCTTATCACAGTTATTGTTAGCCTGCAAAAACAGCCATTTCTCCCTTCTCCTTGCTGCTTGGGACATTTTGTGAGGAGGAAAATCTGTGATTCAGCGACAGAAATTCCACACTGTTGAGGTAAATGAATGTTTACATAATAAATCCGGTAGTCTTAGGGTTCCAAATGCAAATTTCTTCAATTGAACGTTTCTCCTTGTCGATTTTGGTAAAGTGTTGTGTTTATTTGTCAATGAGCTCCAGCAAAACTCAAATGCTTCCTCTAGAGAAAAATATACTCCTCAAAATGTTGACTGTTTTGTTATACTGTAGATTCGTCGCTTTTATATTTGTCCTTTGTAGTCTTTTGTCTGTCATTCGTAAACAATGGTTGGAACAATATAACTACTCCGACATCCAATCAGTGCTTATGACAGGATTCTGGACTGATTTTATGTCATCAGTATGGGATTTCTGTTGCTGAGTCGCAGACGTTCCTTCTCATGAAATGTCCCCCAGAGGTGATGAGCGAGGAGAAACGTCTGTTTTTGCAGGTTAAATTATTGTGTAAACTTTCACAAACTGAAAAATTTCACTTACATTGGTGAAAAGCACTTGTGAGAATACATTATAATATCCCAGAGATAAGTTAATATTCCCCATGTCGGTTAATTATTAACAAACCCCAGCACAACTCTATTCAGGGGAAACCTCTATTTAAAGGACACTTGCCTCGGTCCCGAGGGTGTCCTCTGAATGAAGGCTCCACTGTATTCTATTGTTCAACCGTAGGGCCGGCGACTTCAAAAAGAAATATTCACAATCTACAGCTGTTGCAAAATTTTTGCTGCCCGTGTTTTATTTGTGTCAAAAATTTGATCATATTTCAGCTGTACTGAATGAACTCAGTTCACTTGAACTTTTGAACTTGCATGATGTAACTATGATTTTCAAATGCATAAACAGTCTTCATGTAGCTCCAACCTATAAGTGCTAATCTTTTCAAACGTTCTGACACTCAGTCACAAAGACCACCTCAGTTTGCCTTTATGTGGGGTTAATGCGAATACGTTATTTGTAATGTGTCTTTAATAAGAATGTCTGTTTTA